TTAGTTGTTAGTTTACATAGTTGTATGTGTACACACATATACAACACATATCTGTTGTAAGTGTATGTGTGCATATATACACATTCTCCTTTAGTTATCTCAGTCTCTTTTAGTTATCTCATAAATGTGTTCTCTGAAATGTTCTTCCCTTTATGAGCAGAGATTTGAAGCAGAGAAGACATTCCCATACAGCATCCCAGTCCTTAATGCCATAGTGAAATTCACCACAGTTCATAGCTTCTTCATGCTCATATTAAGTCAGTCTTCTAATACCACACTCCGAATTTATACATTTCCTATGTGCTTTCTCCCTCATAGATGTTTCAATACTTTTCCAAGGCTCAGACAATGATAGCTACTTAACTTACAAACAAAACAAAATTTTCAGGAAATCTCTCCAACACTTTAACTTCTGAATCTATTTCTCTCCCACTTGTAGCACCACTCTTAATAAGCAGGTTGGGGAAAGGAAGTTAAATTGTAGTTAAAAAATTATATCCAACCAAGAGAGCCTTTCCACTATTTGAAAGTAAAAATAAACAATATTTTTTCTTTCCACTGCACAAATTTTGCCTCTGTTCCATCAATCATTGAACTTGAATAATTCACACACTTGTACAATTTTCCAGCAAGTAATAAGCTTTTTTTTTTTTTTTTTGCTTTTTTGGCAATATTGGTTCAAGATCAAGCACACAAGTAAACCAAATATCAATAGAAACCACTTATATTGACTGGTAAATAGCTTAACTTTGCATTCTTTCTCAAACAACTGATTACAATATATCTAAATACATAATACTGAAACCATATGTAAAGAAATAAAAATGTGACAAATTTTCAAACTTGTTTGCCTTAAATGTGAACACCAGAAGTCTTAAGTTTTCCCCAAACCAAAGGATTTAATCTTATTGATTCAGATTTGAAGTAGTCTTCTAGGTCAATCAGATATACATTCTTGTATTCATATGGAAGTCAGCAAGATATATTTAAGAGTGACCTGGATAAATGTTAGAATATATTTTAATATTTGAGAGAATCAAATTACTTATAACTCAAGCTTTCACAACCAAATATAGGGGAGTGATAAATATAGAGGACTTAAGGCAATAACATACAAAAATAATAAAAAAGCATCTGTACTTTGAAATGAAAGCTAAGCAACAAACAAGTGACTATCTTTTCTATGGCAACTACTGTTAATTAGCTGATAGCCACTAAAAGGCCTTTACTCTGGATGTTTTCTTGCCCTCAAAAGTCATTAGGTAAATAGTGACCCATAAATAATTGTTTCCCTTGTTTTTCTTTACATGATTGTAATATGTGGCCCTGCTTTTAAGGAACATTCACACTAGCTGTGGAAGCAACACACACACACACACACACACACACACACACACACACAAATGAAATAATCAAATAACAACAGAAAGCGGTTTATGGATAGGAGACTGTGTGAAAGGTTTGGACAAAAATCACTACTGAATTCAGTATACTGAAAAAGAGAATGACAATTATGAGTGTTAGGACTAACATAAATGCCTCTGTATTTCCTCAAAGTACTGAGCTCACTCAGGCTTTCAGAGTTAATGTTAGAATTGGTGGGAATGTTAATGGAAACCAAGTTTATAGGAGAAAGGTATGGCAGGTAAATCTGGAGTTGGGCAGAGGCAGCTTATTGACAGTAAAACCAGGAGACCAGGAACTGAGCTGTCTCCTAAGCAGCTTTAAGACCCTAGATGTGAATTTCATCTCTCAAGGTCTTACACTCATAGGGTGTTAGGCGGAGGACTCAGTGCAGGTCTCGTCTCCTGACCCTGCTAACCACAGTAAAGAAGGACTACTGTCCTGTCATGTGTGTCAAAATATGCATCTATCTAGGCATCAAAATGTAATTATGTCTGAAAAATTATATTAAATTTTTTGAGAATCACTGGCTTCCAGCTATGATGTTTTGCTGAACTATTCTTTAAAAACAAACAAACAAACAAATCCCACTGATCAAGGCAGGAGTGTATTCTTTACACCAGCAGAAAATTCAACAGACAAATTAACTGTAGATTCACATTAATAGTTTATACCCATGAATGAAGTCCAAGTAATACTCTCACACCTATCGGCCATCAGCAACCATGGCCATAAATGCTGTAACCAAGAAAGATAAATGAATTTAGCTGAAACTTTTGAAAGGAATAAAAGAACCTATCTCTCTCTCTCTTGACCTCTTTGCCTCACTCTTTCCTCACAGTTTTAAAGCCTCTATTCATTAGCAATGTAGGTATTTTTAACTGTTTTTGTATCCTTTCTTTTTACTGTGACTTCTCTGGAGTGTGATTCTCAGGCCTGACAACCCTCCTTACTCTCTGTTGCCAACAATCCTTTGTAAGTATGCCCATGTTTCTCTTGATTTTCAAAAGCATTTTCTCACCAGGTTAAACACCTTTTAAACCCTAAGTACCTGGAGAAGGAAATGGCAACCCACTCCAGTATTCTTGCCTGGAAAATCTCATGGATGGAAAAGCCTGAGAAGCTATACTGTCAATGCAGTGGGCAAAGAGTCAGACACGACTGAGCAGCTTCACTTTCACTTTCACTTTTCAAGCCCTAAGTTAAGGCAGACTTGCACTGTGTTAAAACTTCTATTTAATTAGTTATTATTCAAAAAATTGTCACAAGAGTCTTCAATGCTAGGTAAGATGATAATACAGATGCTCATACATGGTCTAATACTTAAATATTTTTTTTCTTCACTGAGTGTTAAATCTTAAGAAAATTTATTGTCAATATACTGTAGTAGAAACTGTAGACTACATACCTAAAAAATTCTGTTCATACTCTAATTTTTAATTTTCTAACTATAACCTTAGGGAAATTAGTGAATGACTTACAATGGCCTCATGTGTAAAATGGTGACTTAATTTTGTTTCACAAGATGGTGTGAGAACTAATTACCTAGTGAGATTCTGGGAACATGGCAGGAAAAAACAAATTGAAATTTCCCCCAATTCTTCTCCTGCAAGCATATTAATTTTGAGTTTAAGATGACCTGTTTATGCCTCCAATATGTCTGCTCAAGGTACAATCTGATAATTGTGTAATCCCACAGGCCCAAGGTGATACTGTACAGATTTCTGTGGCAAGCATAGGAATACCCTCTTTGACATCCTGACTATGCTTTTATTCATGTGTTAGGGCCTGACTTACAATACCTCTCAAGTAAATACATGACCTTTTCATACACAGATTTCATTCTATTCCCAGAATATGTCTTGAAGTTTTGAATGCCATCCTGCTCCTACTGGAATAAATACTATTTCCGATTGTCTGCAGCAGACTTCTTAGGCTGCTATTGTAAGCATCCCTAACACAGCTATAAACCTACACCAGAAATACATGAAACTTGGCCCTGGTTTTTCAAAGTGAACTGAGAATTGCCTAGCTATTATTTCTTCCAATAAACATTTGTGTAGTATTTCTTACCTGCCTGGGGCTATTCTAAGCTCTTGGGATATAATGTTGAAAAAGGCAGGCAAGGTAGCTCTTATCAAAATGGGGATCCTGAGGATAAACAGCTTAATAAAGTAAATTAGGGCTTTACACAGATGAACACTGCTCAAGGGTTAAAGGTGATTAGGAAAGGGATTCCTGAGATGGGATACTTAGATTGAAAACTACATGGTAGAAAAGAGGTGACTCAGCAAAGACGTAAAAGGTTGTTATGTAGAACTAGAATGAAGTTCTAAAACAGCTTCACTAGCTTGACAGGCAGACCTATTGCCCTTTAGCAACTTAGAGATTTTTATATAAAAAAAAAATTCATTACTATTTTATGTCTCTATGATATTTATGTTTTACTTATAAAAGAACTGAGCAAGGCTGTTGGTTTCATTTTAAGGAACATATATTTGTGGTTCAATGTTAAATATATTACCTAATTTTACATTTATTTTTAATATATTCAGCATTGTAATTTTTAAGAAAATCACGAGTAAAATCATAACAGCTTATTTACTATGGTTTTCTCATCTTATACTTTTCTAATATCCCCATATATTTGAATATAAAATCTATGTAAGTTGGAGTAAATTATTTCCCCAAGAAAAAATACGTTCTTTGCTTATTTAATTTATATTGTCCTATACGGAATGTCCATTTAAAACTGTTGTTTCTTTCAGATCTGGTTTCCTTGGTGTGTATGCCCAGAAGTGGGATTGCTGGGTCATATGGCAGTTCTATTTCCAGCTTTTTAAGAAATCTCCACACTGTTTTCCATAGTGGCTGTACTAAT